ACGGTAAGTCCAAACGACTTAAAATTTGCACTGTATTAAACCAAATGGGCTGCCAATCTGCATACTCAAAAAAAAAAAAAGATTCTAAAAAATCTGATTAAAATGTTCAAAATTTTGATCAACATTTGTTTAAATTCGTCGAATTTTTATAAATGTTCTAAAAAGTTGTAATTTTGATATACTTACATGATAATAAGTTTTATTTTCATAAAAAATAGTAAATATTCAAAAAAAAAAAAAGAAAAGTGGCCAAAACTTGCCAAAATGGCTCTTCTCGCCACGGCATATATTGTGTGTAAATATACATTTTTGCGATCACTTTTCACTCTTTATTTTGTTTTTAATCAAAGTGTATTAAAAGAAGTTGCTGTCTTTTTATTCTAAAAAGAAAATTGCATGTTCGGATCGGATGCTTTAGAAATGTCCCGATTTTGTTCCACATAAATCTAGTCACCATAACTATAACATAAAATATTTTGAAAAAAATCTGAGATGCAAAACCCAAATGGAGTCCGGATTGGGCTGGAATGCTCCATATTGATTTTTGCTGTCAGCCGCAGAAAGAATAAACAGTAGTCAAAAGCTGCAAACGAAATTGTAGCATTTCATAAAACTACTAGCAAATCCATATTTTCTCCAAGTATCTTTCGAAATAAGTAAGCTTTGTGTTTTTACTTTTCATGTGAGTAACATAAAAATATAAGCAGGATATGTATTTGTTGTGTGGTCTTATTACTTCCCTCATTGTTTAAGTACATAAATAAATTGGTAATTACTTGTGCTTATGCTTAGACTATGCATTTGCTTATTTAGGTAGGTAGAGATCATTTATGAATCGAAACATAGATACATATGTATGTACATACTAGGGATGCCAATCCCGAAAAATTTGAGATATCGAATTTATAGTAAGAACTTGTTTAAGATTTTGAATTATGATTTTAGTAAAATGCCCTTTTGACTACAATTAACAAAAAGTTTGAAACTGTGCTTCTAAATTGCAGACTGAGCTTTTTTGAAGAAAATTTAAATGAATGTACTCCTAGTGTCCCTTATGTAAACGAAACAGAAAGTTTTATTTCATTTCAGTTACATAACTTTTTAAATTAATCTACTCCAATTTTCTCAAATCGAAAAACTTATAATTTATCCGACGTGCTGGTAAAACGAAGTTCAAATATTTTGTAATGGAGGAGATAGGGGTCATTTCATTATCAAATGGCTTATGAGTACCGCTTGACAGTTCAGCCTTAAAATGTTGAGGCCGATGGATGAGTAGAATAAAGTGTTTTTGTATTTTTTGTTTGACTTTTTTTATTAATCATTACTATTTGTATCTACACTTTGAAATTTTTGATATAAATTTTTAGACAAATTTTGGATATGTAGTAGTAGCGTGGTGCCGAAAATTCGCCTTTTTGTGCTTCTACTTCTAAAAGCAAAAACATGGTGTATTATGCTGTGAAAAAAATCTTTGAGAAGGATGGAAAATTTTGGTCAATATCTTAGGCTCGCCCAAGTCGATTAAAGTTAAATGTGTTAAAAAACTTTCAAAGCTTACTTCGATCGTAAATTTAATGCTCTACAATAAAGTTATGATGCCAAATCATGTAGGACCAATACTTTCAAGGATAATTATAATTTTAGTAAAAACAATTTTTTTCATTTATTTATGTATTAAATTTTAAATTTCTGATTTTTTTTTTAATTTTCGTTTATTTTTTTTATTACATAGCCAATGTACCAGCATACCCAAGATTTTTCTAAAAATTCAGATTAAAAAGTTAAATATTTAGATAAGAATTTTTCTAAATTCTGTATGGAGTTAGAATGTTTGACTTATGTGGTTTTGATTAAAGCAGAAACTATATTTTTATAAAAAGAATAAAAAAAAAATTGCACCATGCACTCACTTTTGATCAATCACATGGTTTTTTAAATACAATTTAAAAAATATATTACTTTAAGATTTGTCAGTAATTAGTAATCAGTTTATCGTAAATTTTAAATAGTTTTATTTCATGGTATGTTTAATTGCTTTCAGTTATTGAATTTTTATTCATATTCATAAAAGTTATGTCTCAATGTGAATCCCGGGACTACTTAAAAAAATATCCCGAAATTCCGAGATCACGATTTTCCGCATATTTTGGCATCCTTAGTACATACATACATACGCGCACACACTTATATAGAGCTGAACAAATTTTGTTACTTTCCATAATCTCCCTTTAATCAATTTCCCTTATATATAGTAGTGTATTAGCTAATTTATATGCAAAGAAGGACGTGCACAATTTTCTGGCCACATCACCTTCGGGCACAAAATTTAACAAAAACATAAATATTTACATGTGCTACGTTTTGAATATACAGGGTCAATAGCTAAATATTTGAGTACGTCAAGTTCAGGCAGTATCATCATCTCTTAATGATTCCACTTTGGCGTTGGCTTTGGATTTCACAAATAAATGGATATTTTACGATTTATGCATTATGACACTGCCGCTAGGTGAAATTTGTATAGCTGAGAAGAAGCATTTTAATAAAGACGTACAACTATAATCGTATCTATAGTATTTCTCAACGCTTGAAATATAATTTGAGTCTACATACATAAATATATAAAAAGGAAGGTAAATAATAAGTTGGTGTTACCGTGCCTAAAACGTAACAGCATCATCCAAAAATATGTGATTTAAAATATCACATTTAGTTTTTATATAGATGCAAAATACAGTCGAAGTAGGATTTTGGATAAGCATGTGATCCTGCGCTGGGCACGCCTGACTTAGAATATATACCAAACGGACATAAATTTGAGTTCTTTAGATGTCTTTGTTTAGTTTAGGTGGTGAACATCGTTCGACGATTTCTGTTCTGTTTACGATAGGCTGAATTTGGTAGCGATACGAAGAACTAGATCGTACGGTACTCTATCCCTTAAGATACCGAAAATCTTTTTTCAATTCCCTTTTGAGCCACTTCATCTCTAACTCTACCTGGATATCAACTACGTTCAACGAGCATACATTTTATTTATTCACTCCGACGATCTCGGTTTAAGAATCCACTGTAGCTGTTGGTGTTGTTGTAGCGGTTACTAAAATCCTGCTCGAGTCGGCTCATCCATCTGCGTTGTCGTCTGGTTCAGCTAAGGAAAGGCACCGAAAGTGCGTGACTTCGACAAGGGCTGTCCATAGTGGCCGTGAGTCATGTGGCAACTCTCCGCATTCCGGGCACTGTTTGGGCACATCTATATTTACTCTGCTCAGGTATGAGTTTATCCTGCTGCAATAGCCAGAGCGAAGTTGAGCTGTTGTTGTGCGTGTTTACCGAGGCAGACAAAGTTCTGTTCAGTTGACGAAGGGACGTCAGGAGGCATCTCTACGAACTGACTTGACGAAGTCCAAAGGTTCATAAAACAACCTCTGGACCCAACTGCATACCGACAGGCCCGACATGGCATTTACAGGTCGAGAGTCTATATAACTCGAGACCGACTCCCTGTGAATCGAGTCGCGAGCCAAAGTGCCGTGTCCTGGCAAGTCTGTAGCTTCATCCACTGTGTCCTGCTAGTCCCCGGTGACAACAAGTGCGCTGCATAATTGCATTTTATGTTGCCAACAACCTTACTTTATCTTTGCACCAGGTGCTGCCGGCCAGCGGCTTGAGGACCTTGTTGCGGCTCTGTACTCTGTTGACAATTGCGGTTGCATGCGCCGAGAAGAGAGCAGTTTGTCGAAGGTAACTCCGAGGATTTTTGGGCTATTCACCGTCGGAATTGGTTCGTCATCGACGTGAATACACAGCTGCAGTCTGACCTCCTTCGTCCAGGTGGCAAATTAGGTTGCCGAGCATTTCGTAGGGGAGAGGGTTCGGTTCTTTGCAGTGAAGAAGCGAGAAAGCTCGGAGAGGTAGCCGTTTACTTTGGAGCACAATTCATCAATTTCATTCCCAGACGCCATTATCGAGCAGTCATCAGCGTAATAGGCAATAGAGACTTCCTCTGGTGGTTGAGGGAGCTTTGATATTAGCAATTAAACAGAAGTGGGGAAAGGACACCACCCTTTGGAACACCCTGTTTAATTTTTCTTGGTTTGCTGGTTTTGTTTCTAAAGATGACCGTTTGAGTCCCTGAGTGAGAGAGGAAGCCTCAATGTTTTCTAGTAGCGTGGAGTGGCTGACGGTATCAAACGCCTTTGACAGATCGAACTCTACTAGAACCGTTCTCTCACAGGGGCGGTTTCGGTTAAGGCCACGAGTTATCTGTGTGTTTATGGCGTTAAGTTCTGCTGTTGTTGTGCTATGCACTTTTCGGAATGCATTCTGACGTCTCGCTGGAGTCAGGTGGTTTGTGTAATGCGGGAGTAGAAGGGCCTCTAGTGTCTTCGCTACCGGGGAAAGTAGAGTTATCGGACGATAAGAGTCTCCTTTGTTGAACACTTTCCCCGGATTTAGCAGTGGGAGCACTCTCCCCATTTTCCAGATGTCTGAAATGATGACAGTGACCATAGACAGGTCGGGGACCTTGGTTGATAATCCATTCCCGCAGGACCCAAATTTTTCAGCATCAGCATGCAAATTCCGTCGGGTCCTATGACTTTGGAGGCTTTCGCCTTCCCGATGGCTACCCTCACTTCGCCGCAGGTCTGAACTTTACTGGCTAGTGATAGGTTTTGAAGAACACTCACCGGGAATAAGTAATCCTTCTAATTCATCAGTTTACATGCCAACATAAAACTGGTTGCTTACAAAGCCCTTGGTACGGCGACTCTGTCGATCACTTAACAATTTTACTGATATAGAACCATATAAAAAGCAATTTCACAGCTTGGCAAACGCGATTTTACATAAATTAACTTAAATTTCTAATCAAGTTAATTTTCCGACTTTCCTCCCAGTTTGCACAATTCTATGATCAATCGAAAAGGACTAATCATTTTCGCTTATTAACTATTCGAACAATTTGTTTAATATTCGTATTGTTTTCTGTTTCATTACTTACGTGACTTTTCAGCCGTTGATGTCTTCTCCACACTTTCCGTTCGCAACTTGGCGCCCGCACCATTACCACCGTTGCCATTGCCGCCATTACCGCCGCGTTTGCCATGTCCCTGATGCTGTTGTTGTGATCTCAGCTGTTGACGCTGTCTGCCCTTGCCATTACCATTGCCGTTGCCGTTGCCGTTGCCGTTGCCGTTGCCGTTGCCGCTANTTGTGATCTCAGCTGTTGACGCTGTCTGCCCTTGCCATTACCATTGCCGTTGCCGTTGCCGTTGCCGTTGCCGTTGCCGCTACCATGGTGTCCATGATGCTGCAGCTGTTGCTGTTGTTGCTGTTGTACTTGACTGCCAATCGTAGCCGAGTACCTTTTTTCCTGTTTGCTGCGTCCACCATTCGATCCATCTGGACTCTTATTTAGCTTCTTGTTGTTGTTATTGCCGTTTTTGTTGCGCTTGCCGCTGTTCCCAACGGTAGCTGCTGCCGTATCAACGGGCGTAGCGCTGTCATCGACGCCTTCAACATTTGTACCACGCGCTGTACGCTTCACCAATACATCACCCGACTCCAGAGACATCACCAACTTGGCACTCGCTAGCTCAGCCGGAGAGGCGTGCAGGGAATGTGAATGCGAACGTTTCACTTTACCGCCAAATGTTTTGACATTTCGCTGGTCTGCAGCGTCGGTGGTGGTGGCGGCAGCAGCAGCAGCAGCGTTCGAGCTATGGGAACCTCTTAGCCCATAAATCAATGTCGGTTGGCAGACTAATGCTACCAATAAGAGGACGCAAACCATTAGGAGATTCATTTTAAGGAAAAGTTGTCGTGTTGATTGTTGCTGTTGTTGTTTTTGTTGTTGCTGCTTTTGCTGCTCAGCCTCTAGGGGAGTCGGTTTTCTGGGCTTGGTGGCAACGCTTCCAGCCCGAATCCCAGTGCGAGTGCTGCGGCTTGGTTTTCTCGTTGTCCAACGCCGTTGCTGTTGTTGTAGCTGCCTGTTGGTGTGCAGATTTGCTGGTGAACTATTGACCAAGAAAAAATCTCTGTAATGACATAGAGAACACAAGGAAAAAAGTTATTGAAATGTGGCAAGCAGTTTGGGCGAAAAGGAAATTACTAAATAAAAATATCTAGTATCCATTGGATAGTTGCAGTTTTTTTTGATTGCTTTGCGAAATTTAATTGGGTTTGTGTGTATAGGTGCAGTGCCTTTGTACGAAGATGAATGGTTGCAGTTTTTTTTTCCTTCATTTTATTTACTATCTGTACTTGTTTCGATGTGAGCGGAAGCGGAAATGAGAAAGAGCTTCAAATTTAGAAAGCTGCTTTTTATTCCGAATGCTTGCTTAGAGATATTTTTTGCACTATCATCCTAAAAATGTACAGATATTTTATCTTTTAAGTAGATACTCACTACGTTCATAAATAGTTTACACACATACAAATATATAAGTTAGACAATAAATAATAGACATACATAAAAATGTTCGCCAAGTGTTTGGCTTAGCTATCCCTTCAACTCGTCGCGTGTGTCTTGATGTTGCTACTCAAACGAAGGGAGCTACAGTTTTATACAGCCTCTGCTGAACGGCAGCAGGTTTTTATATTTGGAGGCTTGCTTGACAGCCTCTGCTGAACGGCAGCAGGTTTTTATATTTGGAGGCTTGCTTGCCAATGTAAATGAGTACTTTTTCCTAGCAATGAATAAATATAAAAAACGGCTGAATTTAGCGGACTGCCCCGCCCACTACACTAGGGGCGGATATGGTTAATTTATCCGTTTTCAATGAAATTCGATTTGCAACTTAGATTAACCTAGGAATACATAAATCTAAACGATGGGAGATAATCGGTCAACTGCCACGCACACCAGTCATCCGAATGCTTGATTCTAAAGTGGCAAGGACTAGTAACGATCCTCCGAAATAACAAAAATTTGGTGCAAGATCTATTTTTGCATAAAAACCCCGAGATATATAACAAATTGTGTGGACTGGCGACCAGCTATGCCCCCCGTCACTAGTTTCACTATTTCAGATATACAACTTTCTAGCTTAATCCAAGTTGCAAACCGTATTTCATTGGAATCGGATAATATTTACCAATTGGGCCCCTTGTGTAGTGGGCGTGGAAGATCGCCAATTTTCACCAGTTTTCTATAAAAAGTGAGCCAATGCGATTTTCAGTAGAAATTCTTGAGCTTGAGAAAATTTCTTTGGTGCTCATTTTTTATGTATGAAAATTTACTCACACTTTACTCAATCTTTGCAGAAGGTGCAGTGTTACGAATCTGAAAGCAGGTTTAAAAAATTCTAAACGATGAGACTAATATGACGGCTTTCTAATTTAAGAAGTTTGTGAATTTTAATAGAAAATAGTGAAAACTAGGTTTCTCTTAAATTAAAATATTAAATAAAGTTGGAAAAAGTTGTCTATCATTTTCTGTGTATGTGTAGTTAAATAATAACAATAAGTCAATAGATTTTTGGCAAAATTTGGCAGACATTTTTTCCGCAATTTTGAAATTTAATAAAATTACATTTTATTTATACTTACAAAAATGTCTGTTTCTCACTATTATAAATGAGGAATTAATAATTTTTCAGATTACGATTTGAAAAAAATTTAGGTTAAAACAAAACCCAGGGTGCTGGATACGCCTCTAGCGAACTCTGAAATTTTAAGGATTTTCTGATACGTACAGGACTGTAGCGTTTACAGGCGCAAAATGCGAAAATTGGACATTCATGTAAATCTTAGAGTCGAGGGGCCATCTTTCAAGACATTCCTAAGAAATTTTATTCGACTCTAGTACCGATTTGAAGACCTTAATTTTTAGTATTTCGTCCCGCTGGATTATCTAATCATACCAGTGTGCGTCTTTATGAACTATTCAAATAAATACTATAACATAATTATTAAATGCTTATTTCACTTATAATGATTAACGCCACTGCAGCCATGGGCGTAGCCAGGTAGGGGCAGAGGGGTGCTCGAGCCCCCCCTAACTTTCAAGTTTTCCTTATATATATATAAAATAGTACCCTGAAATGCCAGCTTAATAGGGTCGAATTAGAAAAGAAAGAATTACGATATTTTATACTTGCTGATAATTATATGATTTCTCATTTCATTTAAAAGATGCAGCAAAAATTTCATATTTTAATGTTAACTTAAATTTGAAAAAGAATATTCGACGAACCAGCGTCTATGGCTGTAATTTAACTTTAAGCCTTCCCATAGTATTGTTAACTTTCAAGGAAAGACGAAGTAAATAAAACTGACCAAAGAATTTTTTTTTTTTTTAGTACTGAAAACAAAGCCATGTAGCCTTAAGCAAGGACAAGACAGCGATTACATCAATTATTACTGAGCTGTTTGTAGCACCTTATTCCATAATTCAAATTATAATTTTTCTCTGACCTTTAAATATTTCAAAGTATGCTTGAAAATGTACATCTAAAACGCTTAACAGTTAACAAAACATATGTGCAGCCCTAAGTTTTGTAAAATTATCAGCCATTTTGCTCTTTAAATGGCAAAAGTTTTTCAATTGCTTAATGCAAGCAAAAGAAACAAAAATCAGTTTAATGGGAAACCAAAAGGCAGGCCAGAAAAGAGAGGAGGGAGTAGGTAGGTCGCAAGCAAATCGTTTTGTNAGGATAAGACAGCGATTACATCAATTATTACTGAGCTGTTTTTAGCACCTTATTCCATAATTCAAATTATAATTTTTCTCTGACCTTTAAATATTTCAAAGTATACTTGAAATTGTACATCTAAAACGCTTAACAGTTAACAAAACATATGTGCAGCCCTAAGTTTTGTAAAATTATAAGCCATTTTGCTCTTTAAATGGCAAAAGTTTTTCAATTGCTTAATGCAAGCAAAAGAAACAAAAATCAGTTTAATGGGAAACCAAAAGGCGGGCCAGAAAAGAGAGGAGGGAGTAGGTAGGTCGCAAGCAAATCGTTTTGTAACTATGCAGCCATAGTAGCAGCTGTACTACTGCTTATACATATACATATATACATGCAAAAAAACACACACACAACCACAACAAAAAAGGCAAAAACGAAAAAATGAAACAAAAGATAAAAACAAACCGCTCTACATTGAGAATAGTCAAGTGTTTAAAACTNAACACACACACAACCACAACAAAAAAGGCAAAAACAAAAAAATGAAACAGAAGATAAAAACAAACCGCTCTACATTGAGAATAGTCAAGTGTTTAAAACTTCATTAATGCCAGATCAGCGCATTGCAAAATCAGCTGCCTTCCTGCATGTGGGAGCTACAATGAAAAAAAAAAAAACAAACCTAAAATGGAAGAAATATGAAGCGCAAGAGAAGAAAAGTTTACGCTAACATGAATCAACTATATACTAAGCAATTTCTCGTCAACAGCTGCGACAGGGATTGCGCAAAAATGCACTGCTTGCTCTTTGCTGTGCATCACTCTGGTGTTTTTGTTTTAGTTTTGTGCGCTTTGAATTCAAGCGCACATTCTGTTGCCGANAAATGAAAAAAACAAACAAACCTAAAATGGAAGAAATATGAAGCGCAAGAGAAAAAAGTTTACACCAACATGAATCAACTATATACTAAGCAATTTCTCGTCAACAGCTGCGACAGGGATTGCGCAAAAATGCACTGCTTGCTCTTTGTTGTGCATCACTCGCGTGTTTGTTTTAGTTTTGTGCGCTTTGAATTCAAGCGCACATTCTGTTGCCGACGAATGAGGAATGATTGGAGACATGTGTGGCGTATTTCACACTTGTGCCAATTGCCAACAACTTTAGATTTGGGAGGCAAAGCTTAGCGCACGAAGAGACAGCAAATAAAAAACTTGAAGCTTCATTCATTTGTGCAATTCGATTTTCAGAATGCGCTTCTGTGAGTTTTCAGTGGCATTTTTATTTATTTTTGCTTTTTTAGGGAAAATCTTGTTCTGAATCCATCCTGATCAGTGTTGCCATTTTGGCCGTTTTCCGGCTAGATTTAGCAGTTAGCGATAGCCAACAGCCGTTTAAAAAAAAAAAAAAGTTAGCCGTTTTTAGCCGATTTCGATATTTGCCGTATTTTNACTTTAAGCTTCATTCATTTGTGCAATTCGATTTTCAGCATGCGCTTACTGTATGTTTTCAGTTCCATTTTTATTTCTTTCTGCTTTTTTAGGGAAAATCTTGTTCTTAATCCATCCTGATCAGTGTTGCCATTTTGGCCGTTTTCCGGCTAGATTTAGCCGTTAGCGATAGCAAACAGCCATTTTGCAAAAAAAAAAGTTAGCCGTTTTTAGCCGATTTCGATATTTGCCGTATTTTAAATTAAAAAAATTCAAATATATGTACATATAAGTTTCCATTTTAACATATTTGGCGACCTAAAATCAATTAGAAACTGCTAGCCTTATCCCGGAGAAAATTTTCATGTCGGACTGTGTTAAGTATATAAAATTGAAAGAANGCTGCTAGCCTTATTCCGGAGAGAATTTTCATGTCGGACTGTGTTAAGTATATAAAATTGAAAGAATTTTCTCTAATACGAAAAGTCTTAAAATACTGGGCCAATTTCAATGAGCGACATTTCATTTTTATGAAAGTATAGCTGATTACTTACAAACACCATTTAGTTCAAAATTTCATATTTTATTCAAAAATAATGAAAATTCTGCATTNATTAAAAAATACTGGGCCGATTTCAATGAGCGACATTTCATTTTTATGAAAGTATAGCTGATTACTTACAAACACCATTTAGTTCAAAATTTCATATTTTATTCAAAAATAATGAAAATTCTGCATTCTTTTTTAATTTAAAATTTTAGTATACTAAAGTACAAATTTAAGGTAGCTGGCACTTACCGTTGATTATGGAAAATTTTTTGTTGACAGTGTTCCGCATTTTTCTCCATATAAAAAAATTTTAGAAATACTTTTTATGGAAAAAATTCGTAACACCGAAATAAAAAATTTTACAATATTGTTATATTAGGTTTATATTAGCTTATTTAGGCGCGACTGCTAACACTGGGCGCC